TTATTTTTGATGTTTTTTTGCTTAATTCCAACATAAGTTAGTTTACTTTATAATCAGTATACTCCTTTATTATATAATGTAAATGAATGTAACGGAAGGTAGGAATTTCAGGATTTAACTATTCATAAAATACATAAATTGAAAAATTTATATGACCACTACAAGAATACTACATCATCGTATGTATCCCACTTCTGAAGAAAACGCTGGACTGGAAGGATAACATAAACCGCTAAAAATAAAATTCTTGTAATTAAATCAATTTTGGTTATTTGAATCTTCCCATCGATGTTTATGACTGTAATTGATCAGTCTCGTATTGTTATTTGTGCATCCTGTGCGGATTGCCTCAATATTGCTTTAAGTTATATGCATTATAAGCAGGGATGATGGTGGCTAGCAGTAGAATCTAGGATGCACATCTCATCCTATTCGGGACTCGTCGGCTAGATAACGCTGTGAAGTCTCGAGCGGAAGGTACTGGGTTGGAATCCCGGAATGAACATCAACCCTGGGATGCAAATGAATATAGCTGATAAGCCCCAAATAGAACGGAACGCGCTTCATGGATTCCACTGCTAACCATCATCATCTCGTCTAATATTGTAATTAAAGTTTTGAAAAATATTCTTTCTGTTATGAACTAAACAAATGGCTGTAAATATATACACATACTTGAGGTCAATAGTATGTTTGATTTTAACAAATTGATTAGTTATATACATATGTACACTAATCATTATGAACAGTGACATATTTAAACCCCTTTCTTTCAAAAAAAATGTAACCAACATTAGTTAATTTTAAATCATTCATTTGTGATATTGATTAATTTTCCCATTAGGAATTTTTGCATATTTTCACCAATTTCAACACAGATTAACGTAGGCTGAAAGTTCATTTAGATTTTTACTCTAAAAAATAACTTTACAATCCTTTAAAGATGAACTATTGACAATTGAAGATATGTAGTACTTATATAAGTTAGTTTATTATGTTAAAACATACTGCCTTTAAGTTAATTTAATTAATCAAGTTTAATTAGTTCATTTTAAATCTTTTTTTCTTTTGACATACCGTTTAGCAATGTGTTTTCAAATGTTAGTTATTCAAACTATAGAATAAAGTCATCTTTTAAAATTTAAATAAATCTATTCAGTCAGTCAGTCAATAACAACGTAGAACTTTGTACGTACGTACGTACGTACATTAGTTCGAGTTACTATACCATATAAATAAATCAATTAGTTATGTTTTAATTCATTGTAGTGGTATTGAGCGGTAATTCAAGTTAAGCAACAACGAACAACTCTTTGTTATCTAGAAAGATTTAAGCAGGGTTACAATTTCATTTTAAGTGATAATGCTTAGTAATTATAATCAGGGTTGTTTATATTATTTACTTAAAAACTATAAGTAGTTTAAGGATTTACTAACCATATTGTTACAATATGTTTCATAATATTTGCTCATGTGTATGTATACGGGCCTGTAGATATGTGATCGAATGATAGAAAGTTCTTTTTAACAACTGTATATGATCTCATAACCTCAAGATTCATTTTACGAAGTGTTGAATACAGTTTAACGATCAACTGCTAAATAACAAGCATAATATATTGCGTATTAAGCAGATTGCAAACAAGTGTTAGTGGCCGCTAATATAGGTCCTGGGTTTAAAGTTCACGAGGCGGGATCGTGGATGCGCACTGCTCAGGAGTCCCACAGTAGGATGAAACAGCCATCCTGTGCTTCTAGATTTTGTATGGTGGTCTAGCTTCAAGTGACTCATGATCTCAACTATTAAGATTACAAGCAAAGATGAATAGTGGTTAGCAGTGGAATCCAGGACGCGCGTTTCGTCGTATTTGGGATTCGTCAGCTGGATGTACCTGTATCTCAGAGTTGATGTTCACTCTGGAACTCGAACCCAGTACTATTCGCTTCAAACGCCATCGCGTTATCCACTCCACTACTGAGTCCTAATAGCCACTTGCTTGTGGAATGGGGTGAAGTTTAGTTCACTTTGTATTGTTTTACTTGAGACTGATCGATTTTAGTCCTAAACATCAATGGGAAGATTTAAGTAAAACAATACAAAATGTATTAAGATTATAATTTATTGATATTTTATTTTAGATATATGCAACGTCAAATAACTTCAGTTTAATTCACCTTTGATACTTTCAACGTTCAAATGAAAAATAAATTGACTATCTATTCACTTACTACTTAAATTTTATAAATTAACACTTTAAAAATTATTTTTCAAGTATTATGCCATTTAGCTAATGTTAATATGAATTCTAAATATATACAGTCTCAAGTAGATTGATTTACTGTTTAATTGTGCTTAGAAGTATAGAATTAAATGTTTTTGAAATGAAAGTACAATCGGTAGGTGAAGGAAATAAATGAAGTTATTTATTTTTTCTACAAGTATATTATTATGGACTAATAGTCAGGTGAAAATTAAATGTATCTCCCGTTTTATGATAATTTGTTAACTAGATGTAAAGGTTTCTGGGTTAAAAAATGTGAAAGAACTTGTAAATTATTATATTTAGAATGAACTTAACAGTGAAAACAATGATATGAGCTAAATGCACTTACATTCTAGAACTGATATTAACTTTGAGATTAGAACTCAATACCCTTCACTTCAAACGCCACTTTAATCACCAACTTATTGGTTTCAGATAGTTCAATAATATGTTCAGCGAGTATCATATCGATTCGCAAGGATTTTTAATTTATTGTTGTTGATATTCTGTAATGTATTTTGTTATATCCAGAGCTTAGATTTTTAATATATCACGTATAACTTGAGCACTTGAACATTTGAACCCTCCAAGTCGCAAATGAGAAGACAGAAGACAAGTGATAGGAATGCTATTCCAAACGGTGTCAAATATGGTACAAAGCAATCAGGTATTCATAGTTTTCTAGAAAAATCGAAATCATCATTATAGTCATCTAATCCGCATACAGGGGTTTCAGCATTTGTCCAATAGGGAAGCTATACGTAGAGATCTTGCAATATTCTTCCAAAAGATGATTGGATGGAATATCTTCGGCTCTTTCTGAGCTTCTTAGAGCTTCCTCAAGTTTACCAGTGGGTCGTCCTCACATATTTGATTAGTCTCTGTGGCATTAAGAGTACATATTTTCTTAGTATAGGAAGATTTTACAAATCGTTGTTTTCAAAGCCAATTTTTTAACTATAGACTGGCATCAAATGAAAACAACCAGAAATAAGGAAGCAGTCAATAGATTTGCCATGTTAGTTTGGGACTTCTCAGTAAAGAGGACACCGATAACGTCTTACAATATCAATATATTGCCTAGCACTGTATTTCATATATTTTTAATGATTGGTGAAAAGCTAAATAAGAATTAGCTAAGTTCAAGAATTTGTAAATATCATTATCAAGTGGCTTACACTGAGTGATGAAATGTCAAAAAACTTACTTTTCCTACTCATTGAAATACTGCAAATATGTTCTTTTTATTAATTAGTGTAAGAATCATTTTTATAAAATGAAATGAAAATTTCAGATCACTTGATCTGTTCAATTGCAGTTTTAAACATCAATGAGAAGATTTAAGCAAACACTATCGAATGAATATTTGATCTCTGTTTAAAATTATGATCTGCTAATTAATCGTTGTTCTCTAATGTATGTACCAAAGAAATTCTCAAAACAAAACCAATATACTCAGTTTGATCAACAGTTATTATAAGTTAGTAATTTGCAAGAATAATAATTAGTGGGGGAGATATTATCGAAAGTATTCGATCAGTCGAGATTGTTTTTTTTACAGAAAGAAATCTGTAATGAATCAGTATAATTCAACATGCAACATCTCAAGTTATTCTACTTAATAAACATCATAAAACTACTTACAAATAATCAGTAGATCACAATTTTTATGAATTTACGAAATATTTCTATTGTCTTGTAGATAATTTTGTAATTCAAGCAAAATAACACTGAAATTTTATTAAATTAAAATCTTTAATGTAGATTAACCTTATTGATTTGAATAGTTGACATGTGAACTTATTTATCTTAATACGTAATGAACAGATAGCCTGAGTAGATTATCGATTCTAGTGACCTTCAATAATGTTAACTATGAAATAAAAATTTGTTTTATTGAGATGGTGGAGAAAATTTGTAACTCGAATGGATGATTTTGATGGAGTTTTGTTCTCTGAGCTGGGTGGTTTGGTCATGGAGTTTTCATCGTTCTTCTGAACGACATCATCAGCACAAAACTCAGGTAGAAGTGGGGAAATTAGAACACTTCACTTCTACCTGAGTTTTGTGCTGATGATGTCGTTCAGAAGAACGATGAAAGCTCCATGACCAAACCATCCATCTCAGAGAACAAAACTCCATCAAAATTAACGTTTGAATATTCATTTCTATTGTTATGTATAGCATTACTAGAGTAATAATGTAGGTTATATATGTTGTGTTTGCTTTCAAATTCTTTTCTTGTTGATCTGGAAACATTACTTGTTTATTTACTGTTAACTAACAAAAAATCATTAACATCAATACTTAGTATTCAATTTTTATTAGTGTTTAAAGTCATTCCCTAAATAACCCAATGTCTAATTCAACTTTGTTTACTGATAAATATTCACAGCAATACATAAACCTCTTTCAAAACAAAAACAAAATAATTTCACTAGTATGACACTGAAGTATGACCAATATAACCGTTTGCGATTGAAAAGCAAGACTAATAATTGAACTAATTCCTAAAGTTTTAAAGAATTGATGAGTCATGGTCATTTTATGACAATATACTGATTCATAAAACATGTATTAATAAAATATGTCATTAACCCATATAAGCGGTTAAGTTAAATACTATTGATAGTAGTAGGTTCTGTTATTTGACATGCTTTCATAATGGAGACTATATAAAATTACGTTGATTGTTCCGTTTTGTATATATACTTTCCTATCCAGATTTCAGTTCGAGTTAAATATCATTTGTTAACAAAAGGAATACAATAATTTATGATACGAAATAGACAATGTGTTATTTTCTTTCAGAGTTTAACTGACAACTTATTGCACAATGTTTATAGTGAATAAATTTATGTAATTATCGTAAATCCTTGGCCTTTTGCTATTTTTTTCGTATTATACAAAAGTACTTCATATAAATAGCTACATTAATTGATCATCTGGCTATAGACGCTGGTATCTTAAGCAAGGTTCAATATTCTTCATCTAACTCTGTCCTCGGCGATCCTCTCCAGTTGTTTCCAGTTTCTATTCATTCCTTTGATATCTTTTTCCGATTCCTGACGCAATGTGTTCTTTGATCTTCCTCTTTTCCGTTTCTTTTCAAGATTACAAGTTAGCTCTTGCCGCCCGATGCATTTTGGTGGTTTCCGCAATGTATGTCTTACCAACTTCCAACATCTTTTCCTCATTTCCTCTTCAGATCGAAGCTGGTTTGTTCTCTCCCACAGTGGGTTGTTGCTGTTGGAATCCGGACAACAGACATTGAGTATCTTGTGTAGAAAATCGTTCATAAATACTTGTACCTTTTTGATGATGGTTGTAGTAGTTCTTGAAGTTTTAGCTCCGCACATTTTACACTGTTCGGACATTCCATGTACCTATATTAACTGTTGCTCTGGTTGTTAGAAAGAGCATCGGTCACGTGATTTTCACTATGAGAGGTTATAATTTTTCTAAATGAAGATTCTTCAACTCAAAAGACAGAGATTATATGGTTCAAATAGATTTTTTCCAATAATCGTTTTCTTAGCCAGGTTGTTTTCTACTGGATGTGGTTGCTGACCACATGCCCAACTCTCCTGTTTCATCCGAGTCTGGGACCGGAAGTAAATCTGGAAGGGCTAAAAGTGAAGTATATTTACAGATATGTAAGTTTTAAAAAAACATTTTCTAAACTTTAGCAGTTTTTACTGAAAATGTTCAATTTTGTTATAAATACTTTATTTTACCTCCATTTATTATGTTTTATTTTATTACAAGTAACCTCAAACTAAGTATTAACAATTCACTCTAGTTACTTTCATGATGTTACTTCAACTAGAGGATGTTTGTGATAGAATTGTTAATAACTGAAGAAAAGATTGATTTCTAATTCTTATTTCATTTTTCAGTAATATTTCAATGAATTTACGATTAATCCGTTGACAAGCTGGTTCAATCTCTAATTACTTGGTTTTTAATGTACAGTATCTTTCAATTTGTATTTGACTCATAAAGAAATGGCTAGTTTATTTTATAGTTCGAAGACAGTTGACAGATCTGACAAATAACTTTTAAGCGTATTCTTTTATATAAATATGATATTGAAATATTTCTAAAATAACTTTAATAGTTGAGATCATGAGTCAATTGAAACAAGATAACCATAAGAAACCTGGAAGCACTGGACGGCTGTTTCGTCCTACAGTGGGATTCCTCAGTAATGCGCATCCGCTATCCCGCTGCCCCCCCCCCGCGAGATTCAAGCCCAGGACCTATCAGTCTCGCGCGCGAGCGCCTAACCACTAAACAACTAGACAATGGATTGATGTTTGCAACAGGAACAGTCAAGTTTGATATATGGTGGATTGATATTTTGCAAATTAACGATTTTCTATATGGTTCCCAGATTTTATTGACATGTTCTGTAATTTTGTGCTCAAATACATTCAATTGTCCCCATTCGTGTTCATTCGCCTTAAATATTTTGTATGTTGTTATAGAATTGAATACTAAATCGTTCTTGATACTGTTTGAATAAATAAGTGGTTGAAATTCACTAAGTGGTGTACCATTAAACAATAAATAGGTAGAAAAATACTAAATAGCATTGCTTTATATGATGCCTCGAATAAATGCGACAGAAAATATACTTTCTATGGTAATTATTAAGCAGAAATAAGTGTTTATATTTCTTTGTACATGTTATACTTAGTATTTATTGAATACATGGAATGTTGATTCAACCTGTGCTTTTGTTAAATGCAAGCAGACTTGTTATGTTTATATACCCTATTAAATTATCACATAATTAAATCTCCAATTGGAACACAACTTATTTCTCCTTGGCTCTGTGCCAAACCAATGACGCGTTAACCAATACGAGTAGCCTATATTCAACTCTGAGTTCTTATTGGGTCTTTTTGCCTAGCCTTGTCCGTTTGAGTTCAGAACACAATCACATGTACTTCATGCACTTCAGACATACACAGTTTACATACAGGGAAATCAGAACTCATCATACCATAAAATAGAAAATAACGACTATACAAGATCAGGTCAGAAGTACCTGTGAGTGTGAGATTCTGTAACTTATAGGTTGGAAGTAACTTGAGAATACTAAATCGTATAGTAGTAATAAATAGATCAAATAGAAACTTATTATAAAAGGAATATAAAAATACATATAACATAGTTACTGAATAGTTATCCAGTAGGAATATAAGTAATATCAGTCCATAAATAATTCCCAACTGTTCATTTATTCTTCGTTAGGATATAATAATACCCTATTGATTTTGCTTTCAATAGAATGAGAGAGTACAATATTCATAGAGGACCATTTCATTTTGTAGATAATATATTTTACTAAAACTAGTGTCAAAGGTTTAAATATACTGCATACATATAACAACGATAAAATCTAGGTGGTGTGTTTCATTCTTTTTTAAAACAACCGCTAGATATACCTGCATTTTTATGTTAGTGTTCACATTGTGACTAAACCTCAGTAAGTTTTACTCCAAATGCTAAGGTGTTATATACTGAGCCACAGAAACCAAACATCCACTAACTTATTAATTGGATATGAATTTCATTTACGAGGATCTGTAGTTTCTCTTTGTTGATATTATGTAATACTTCTGGTTAGTCTCCTCTGACATATTTTTCCAGTGATCAGATATAAATATTGTCAGGGATTTTAACAACTTATTCAACATACGGAAAAAAATAATTCACATCTTTACACAAGTAAAATATTGTATTATATAAAAAAACTGTCTTATCCGTGAAGTATATCTCAGCTGTTTTTCAATGATACCATCTTATTAAATATCTATGTTATTGGAAATATCTAAAAAATACATCTAATCACTTGTTGATAATGCATAATATATTAAGTATACAAAACTTCCTTGTGACTCTTTTTTATTTTCAATCGATTTCGGTTGCTATGCCCTAATTTGTTATTATGATTAGTAGTTCTTTTTTCACACTTCTTTGTATGTCAAAATGCATCTTAATTGTAATCATTAAATTCTTGAATAAGACTTGAGTAAGACTTTTTTTAAACAGTGAATTATGTTTCATGCAGAATTGGCATCGATTTAGGAAGACTGTAACAAATTTATGAGAATTACCTGTCACACTTTTTCTAATCTTACAATTGATTAGATGATATTAAAAGTTTAGCTAACACCTTAATATATTCAAGTTTTTGTATGGATACTGTTTTCTTGAAGAATTTTATCATATATAGATACGAAAAACATTTTAACTGTAGCAAGTTTTTATCTAAATTGTTGCTAATGTAACGAACGAATAAGGCAAGCTTGGTTTACCCTTATTTCACAGAATTTAAGTTACTAACCAATTTATCGTATGATTATTTTCTAGTGAAATCAAAACGCGAACTCAAGTTCTTCATTAAATATGTATTTAATACCAATAACTATCACAAAAAATCCATGTAAACTTAATAAATCCTGATCATTCCTGTAGCACCAGGTTCGCTGATATTTGTAGAAAAACCTATTAGTGAACCAAAATGAATAGGAACCTGTGGTTCAAAAAATTTAATGAACTATTTTTAAAGATCTGAAACTAAAATGTATCCAACAACAATCTAGTTAATACTCCGTACAACTCGGTGCGTTTGAAACAATCGTATTTCTACAACTTCTGGGAAAATGCAACTTTATATACTTATCAAATGATCGTATCTTTCAATTTATATCTTTTTATTATACTAAAACAAATACGAAGGGGCAATTAGATTTTCAAGTAGTCGGATGACTGAAATATTTTTGTTCTTCTAAACAAAATTTATTCCCTATTATTTTGTTAGTTATAAAAACACTAATGCATACAAATATATGCGAGGTACCTGATCGTGTGGTAAATATTCTTAGTATTTAATATATTGTGGTTATTGATTACTTTGTAAACAAACAAGTTCCAATTCCTTTCAATTCAGATTACCCTCTTTTATCCTGTTAGTCACTCTCTTGATGCTATTGGAATCAACAATAAAATTATGTTCATTGTTGTTTTAACTTTGCCATATATTTGCTTTTATGGTATGTATGTGTATGTGTAATTTAAGTAGATTCATCATGAGGACAATGAAATTATTATTGTTTTTCGTAATATTTAAACCAAGTCCATAATATATAACAACTGTTATGTAAATTACCGAAAATCGTGTGGCTCATGGTGTTTTTTATACAAGACTATGTATGTATTAACACAATGAGCTTAAATAACGGTTAATTTTACCCATAATTTACATCATTTCAGCTTCAAATCAATCACTTTTACTAATCTCCTAACATTTAGTCTATGCTTACTAACAGAACATGAAATGGTAACTGTTAAATTAATTAAGTGGTCAGGGTTGATCTTAGTTTGCTAATCAAATTTGGGTTGAACATATTCGATTATGACAACTAGTAAAACTAATGTTCAGTGATAATATTAGATGTAGCAATTTACACAGATTCAAAGAGTTCGAAATATAATGAAGTATGAGTCCTAGATTACACTAACTTCAATAAAAACGTGGACAAAATGGTAATATCAGGGCAATTCTCTCAAGAATGATCAAGTGCGATACTTAACATCAACAACGAAAATATACAAATCTTTGTAAATAATATTCATATCTATTGAACAAGCTTATGAATATCTGGGATCAGTGTCTCAGTGGATAACGCGTTTGCATTTGAAGTAAAACTTACTGAGTTTTAGTCCTAGTGTAAATATCAACAGTGAAGTATAAGTACGTCCAGTGGACGAGACTTAAAGAGGAAACCCCTTAAGAGAATAAAATGCGCGTAATGGATTCTTTTTCTAATCATTATCAAACTTCAGTAAAAAATAAATGCGGAGATTTCACATTGTAAAATATTACATCTTAGTAGGTAAGTTAATTTTGATTAAAATATCCATACTTGAATGAACAGAAACAATTTTCGTCTCGACAATAATTACTAGTAAAATGTTTTAAGCAACATGTTTCATTTATATGAACTGAGGCTTAGATTAATTTATCGATACGATTCATTAGGAATCATATTAGTCGTTCTGTGTCAAGACTGACATCAATATTGAGGGTAATTACTATATCAATATAAGTGAAAATACGTTTAAGATGTACATTTTTTTCCTTTTTTGGACTATAGTGTATATACTTTGAATGATTTAACTGACTAGTAATTCCTTGATATCGATTTCTATATAATAAGAAAAAACAACCTAACTCCCTTAACTACAAATATAGAGTAGAATGATAACCATTATCATTATTTCTTTAGAAATATGTATCATAATTCGTAAGGATTTGATTGACACTCTCAATTCAACCTTAATTTATTATGCTTTATTTTTCAGACAATTCAACGGTCGTAGTCAGTTGTACATCATATCATGTAACTGGAATGATTTCATTTGTTATTTCAGAAATTACTATTACTATGGGCCTATGAAACGAATTCTAAGTAATGTCTGATTTCTAGATGTCTACTGTAGACTAATGTTTCTTTAGAATATAAATGTTAATATATTAATCAGTTTATCATACATTGTTCATTAGCTGTTTGTTTACCACATAGAATAAGTGATTATATGACTGGCATCACTAAAGTATATATTTAGTGTGATTAAACTCAGCAAATTATAATCAGTTCAGCAATTAAGTTGGTGTTACAACACAACTGAATGTATTTCACGTAAATCCAACAATCAGGTAGCTTATAATTCACATAAAGCTGAAGTGATGCTAATCATTGTTTGATTTAAAATATGTGTCCCAGTTTTTATCCAATTTCGGTTAAAAATAGAAAACAGTTATTGGCGTTAAGATTATGTCAGGAAATAAGTTTGGTCAATAAATTCTTTTACTCTGTTCAAATGGAAATTTAGTGGTTAGTTGAAGAAGTGACCTTGAGTGGTTGAAGGTCACTATAGTGTGCAAAACCATTTCACCATAATAAGAAAATATTCTCAGTGAATACTTATTAATTCGATAAACTAATAATCATCTATTGGTGCATTTTCACCACTCATAGTATACATTTAATCGCTGATAACGTTCTTCGAAGTTCTTTTTGTGATAAATAAATTAAGACACTCATCACACTGTCAGTCATTTTCATTTTTGTCTTTACAGTAGTAGTTAATTTTAAAAATCGATTTTCTTGATTTATGTCAATTTCTATTAAATTAGAGTTCCTGTATGAATAATAAAGAATCCTCACTCTTACATAATAACATCAATAATCTTTTTTAATTCTAAAGTTTGATGGAGATCTACCATGATTTTCACCAAAGGCCGACATAATGAGTAAAATTAGTGAGAACCAGAGAAGATATTTAGATTATATGAGTGGCCACTAAATTGGATTACTAATATCATTAGTGAGTTACTGTCTTACTTCCAAAATATAACTGACTCAGATTAGTTTTATATTCAGTAACCTAATTTCTTTCATTAGTTCATATAACCTGAACATCCTAGATGTATTAGCAGTGAGTGACTTTCATAAAGTAAAAGACGTTCTGTTAATATACTAGCTTTTCTACTAGATATTTTGACTAACATTTATTAATATAATGAATATGTTGCGTTAAATGGTATTCCGGAAAACTGTGTGACTGGCAAATCATCTCGTTTTAAACTACTTTGTTAATACTGTTGCATACTGAGACGTCGCTATACTAGATTTTTTAATTTCCCTTATACCTCTGGGATTATATTAATGAAATTTTTTTCTAATATCTTTAGTATGCTTCATTTGATGAAGATTCCTATATATGGTCACTTTTACTGTCTTTTGAATATATTTCAGTATACACGCGATAATGGTCATGCATATTTTTAAAAATGTGGTCTTTTAGCAGACTGGTTTTTCTACATACCTTTTCTTATCAACACAATACAATAATCGAGTCAGGTGAATATAGTATCCCAAACTACTTAACGAAACATTGCCTTAAGCTTATCTTACGGTTTTTCGTTATTTTAAGTTCTCTTTTACGCAAAATATTGCCAATCCTTATCTAGTTCATGTCTAATCAGTAACGACAAAAGTTAGACATTATCGAGTTTTTGTTATAACTAAAGTTTAAAATCAAAGGTAACTCAAAATATATTTTCTAGCAATAAAAACTTTAACAGTGTTTTGGTCTATGCATTGTCTTAATGAGAGTAAAAATATTCATTCAGGACCAAACCAACAAAAAAATTCTAGCTTGTCACCATTAAACAGCATATTCTACACTTAACCGATAATTCGTTTTTTGGTACATTGATTACTATAATGCATAGGGTCACATTACATTAATTTCATTTCTCGTCCTGAGTATACACTTGAAAGAATTATTGCGTAATCAACACCATTGGTACTTTCCACTATTTCTCATTTAGCGATGCTTTTTATAAACCAGCTAGATCTACTGTATTATCACTCTAAACGATAACTTTAAGTTAATACTTACATAAAATATATAGAACATAACTAACAGTAAAATCTAGGACCTATATGGGATTCATTAGATGGATACGCCTACATCCCATACATATATTCTATACAAACTTGTTCCATAATGACTATATCAAAGCAATCTTTACTGGTTATACGAATTTCAACCAAAACAGATAAATTTTCAGTTAGCAACGGAACAAGCCGAATCATTATAAATTAAGTTGAATTAATACTAGTTAATAAATTAGGAAAATGAAATTGAGATAATAAATATATATTGGTTTGAATTGTTTTTTCTGGTTAGCGTTTTTTAGCGAGTTAATTTTCTATGGGACGAAGTCGCTAACCGCATGCCCAACCCTCCTCCTTTATCTAGGTTTGCGATCGGCAGTAGCCCCATGGGGGCTCCGGGTGGAGTTAATAAGAATATATTGCCATCATCAATTTATCTGTATTTACATAGATAAACTTAACGAGTAATTTCTAATTAGATAACACAGAAATCGATCAAAAGTGAAAACATTTTTGTTTTTGAAATCTAAACTACAACTGGTCAGCAATTTCATTGATTGGAAATGAACACATTTTATTAAATTTCTTGATGAATAAAAACAAAATCCAACACGTTCTATCTGTCCTTTTTTTTACCTTTTTAAAGCGATTTTAGTCACATTTTCAATGATAAAATATACATACTACCAGTTTAGATTTAAATAGATAACTATAAAAATCAATCCCTATACTAGACCATACAACAATAAATATAGTCCCATATTACAAATAAAAAATAAATAAATAACGTAAACGTTTTATATTCATAAGGGAAAGTAGATTATCTAAAGTAAATTGACCTTTAATGTATAAGTACATCTAGGTAATATTATCGCATGTATAAATCGACATAATGTTTTAAATGGAAATGCTTTTTTTTAAGAAATGAAGGAAAAGTATATTTTTTTGAAGTCACAAATGAAAATAATTACAATCTATAAGTAAAGATTACATATTTATGTGTAAGTGTATATATGTAATTTGTTTTGGCCTGCATGGCATAGATATTATTGATCTACCTATTAATTTATAATATATGATTACTGTTAAATCTTGATAATAACTAAAAAAAACGTATTTTACTAACTGAATAACATTGACATTATGGGATAGAAATTAGTTTTAAAAATTTGTTAGGTCTGTTCTATGACGTAATAGGATATGAATGTAATTTTCAATACATATTGACGTCACATTAAAACTAATTCACAACCACAAAATATTGATTTATCCCAGTTTGTGACTTTCCGACACTGACTACTGACTCTCTTACACAAAATTATCATATGATATCCGAAATTCATGGAGTTTATGACTCTGATGAGTATATATTTATCAATTACTTTGGTTGACTAAAAAGTTAACCTGAGTATCATTAAACATTATTGGGAATATAACGCTTTATACTCGATGTGCTTGTTTTTACAGAGTTACAGATCCGTGCTATATCGTTGCAATAGGTTCACCTCAAAGCTAGTTGTCCTTACGATTATTTCCAATGGTATAAGATTTCGTGGTGAGATCCTGCTTTACGCAATATCAAACTCTCTAAAAACCCCTTGACGGCAAAAATAAATACAAGGACAGTTTAGGACAACAAACCGGGTTATTGATCACAAATGAACAAAACCATCCAGTTGTGACTAATATCATGATATTTCAGCTGATTAATAACTAACTTAAAAATAATTGCTTAGCTGAAAAATATATGAGAAAAATGTATGTTTTTTTATAACTAGATGTACATTGAGAATTATACTAAATATTCAGCCATTAATGCTTAGGACACCCAGTTAAGACAAATATTCTTGTTTAGTGTGAATATAATTATATGTAAAAACTAGTCAGATCTAGTTCTTTTATTCATAAGTATTTATTACACAATTGTGTAAATATCCAATCACTTCAACGGACCAACTTAAATTTTTCGAGAATACTTAATTAAGCGTATTCAAAATACAAGACTAGCTGTAGTTTAATAAATATCTGTAACTAGATGGATAAGTTTTCATAAAACGAAATTTTCTATCATATAATTATCAAATGATTATTATTGCTTTTTAGGTATATCCTTGGTCTCCAGCTTTTGGTTGGCTTGAGATTGGAGACGAAATTCTAGAAATCGAAGGTCATTTAGGTACCGAATTAACAGAACAGGAATCTTATTCACTTGCTGAATTGAAAAGTAATTATCTACGCCTTGGAATTCGACGGTAAGTAAAGAGAAATCTTATTATATTTCATGAAATAAATAAGAGATGAATCTAATCTATAAATTAACAAAAGAACTCGTTAATAAAAGACTTTTGGTTGATTTCTTTTTTCATATTTTTCAGGTTTTAAAAAAATTCAACGTTATATAAGTAATCACTGAAAATCCTAGTAAATTGGAAAATTGTTTAATTTTCTTTTGAGATTCTACTACTTAACATAGAGCTTTTGCTTTGTTCTGTTCAAAAAGCATAGACACTTAGAAAAAAATTAATAACCTAGATAAAACGCTATGGATCTTGCTGGTTACTGTTGTCTAAAATGCTTAAAAACTTGACAACTCTTAGGTTAACATAGACTATGGGCGACATATCAAGAAAAGTAACGGCCCTACATACAGATAGGACCTAAACTACTGATGTATTCAATATAAAAAGATGCCTTGCTCTACTATAAGTTCTCAAAGAGAATGATATATTACGCCATTGGGGTATCTACAGAGATGACAGGTCAAAAAATATTTTAATTGTCTTAAGCCATAAACGTTTGACACTCACATCTTCCTGCATAATACAAAAAGAGAATTATTTGATATGAGAAAGGTTCACTGACCCTTAATCTCAGGTCAGTTGGTAATCTGAAGTTCACTGGTCTTAATCCATAGGCTTAAACAGTACAATTACTTGTTACAACCAACAAGGTGAGTTAGTTGATTTAGTGTAAAATGTAGGTCAAATGAATTATTCTAGAAAAACAAATTAATATATTATTGAAATGGCCTCATTGTATTCAAATGACATAAATAATCTTAAACATTCAATTGGTACAATGAACTATTTTTGCATACATCCCATTATAACATAGCTAATCCCCATAATGGACATTTAAGAAAGAATTAGATTTCTAACAATTGGATAATTAATGAGTTAGCACTTTTCTATTTTAGTAAAGTAAGATTGATAATAAACTATTTTTTACTTGTATTCAAGTAATTTATGATTTCGTTGAGATTATATTGAATACAGTACATTTTCAGTTTAAAAAATGCTATTTATTTTTGCATTCATATTTTGCTTTTTCTTAAGTAATTGCTTTGTACATTATTTTGGTAGTTACCACTCAAAATAATCTATCTCATGTTATAAATCAACAGAGATCATTAAAAAATGTACTTAACACAATATGAAATTTTGTTACCTATGTGTAATGTACCTGAAAATTTTATCAGTAAAGGGGTTGTGGAGATTACTAAGATTTTGACTGAGATAATGAACCGATTGATGTTAGATCAACATTGAAAACCTGGAAGCACTAGATGGCCGTTTCTTCCCATTGTGGGACTCCCGCTCGCGGGGTTCGAACCCAGGGCCTTCAGTTTTGCGCGCGAACGCATAACCTACTGGACCAATGAGCCGGCATCCAATGGTGTTATTGTCTAACCTCAACCAAATGCACGAGATCGCGCGACCATCTTCCATTGTACTGAGGTATACACCTATCTCTACCCGACACGGATTAGCTCCACTGGTCACGGCTTCACACTAGAACTCCGAGAATTCCCTCACGAAGCTAGTCACTAGTAAGCCGTCCAGTGCTTCCAGGTTTTCAATGGTGGTCTAACATCAATCGGTTCATGATCTCAATTGAAAAGTTTATATTCATTTCTTATGATCCATTTTATATCTTTGATGGTCAAATATTATTTTTTTAATGTAAGCTATTTATACTGGATACGTTTATTGATAAGTTGAAACTGATATATTTTCCTACAAATTAGTCATTATACGAAAATAATAGTTATGAAAAGTTTCTATGTTATGCAAACACTAAGGTGTTTCATTCCTGAAATCAATCGCTGTTTTGAATATATAGTCATTTGTTTTTTTTTATTCACAGTTATCTGAGAAGACACTTTTTAGGATTGGATAGGGCGGTTGTAGCAATGATTTTTTATATTTTAACCAAAAACAGAGATTAATAATAGTACTATATCAGTAAACTAAAAACTGAGCTTTTTACCCTTAAACATTGAAAATTCCTCCACAAGTAATAGCGGCCAAATAAATTCATTCGTCAATAGCAGGATTTATCCTTTACGCATTCTCAGTTGGCGCTGCTAGCTTTTTATTCATTTTTCTCTTGTTCTTGCAGTTACTGAGATTTCAGTGTCCAGTAAATGTTACATGCCTGTAATGCCTTTCCTGTTGACATTGTATTTTACCAACTAAAAGAAAACAGAACAGTCAAAGAGATAACGATCTAAAGTGAAAGTATTATTACATTTTATTAACCTACTTAATAAGTATAAAACGTTAGATGGGATATACTTTGTTTACATAGCAATGCAGTCGAATAACTACAAAACATTTGAAGTACTATGAAAGTATTCATGAAAAGTTTTGGAAAAAAAGAAACTTGATATTTATTATGAATTCTCGGTCAACCTATAACTTAACAGATCAAGATTATAGACAGTCGAATCGGTTATCAAAAGTTTAAGTGATGTATACAAATGATGTACGAATTGAATATTACCCTTTATAACAATCCTAAAATAATGTTTTATACTCATTTTTATCAAATCAAAATAACCTTGGAAAATGCGTCTTAAAATCAATTTAGGTAAATATTGTTATGTTAAACATTAATTGTTTTCTTTTTAATGTTAATTCTTTTTCAGCTTACCAATGTTTAGTAATCAGTATATGGGAACAAGGCCAGCTTCTAGAAATCTTTCAAGAGCTGCCAGTACAACAGTATATGGTCAAACTGGACCGTATTCTAGACTTAATGTAGTGAGTTCTTTTTAAAAAAAATAATATTGAACTTAAATTCATTTTACATGAATTAAATCATATTACTTTTCATGGTAGAATTTTATTTCAACATGAGAAGGCTTTAAAACAGACCTGTATTTTCTGAAATCCGATTTATGTACTGGACATATTTAGTCATATTTTCTCTATAGAATCCTTTTATCTTATAACAAAACTATCAAAATAAATGTTTTTCTTATCTTAATTTATTATTTAAAATGATTTAACTTTTTAAATTAGTAAACATGACTTGTTGAATTCATAGTTGTAGTTAATCGAAGTTACACATGGTTTACAGGGTGTATAGAGACGTTCCTAATTCATAAAATCGTGCGCGATACCATATCCAATAACTATTCAAAAATTTTTTCAGTCTGCTTCACATTATAGTTTTTACAGTTGTATATGATGATTTGTGTATAATTTGTACATTACCAATCAATTGAAGCTGGAAAACTCTTAAATTTGAACTCAATGATTGAATAGTATCATCCCTGTCATGAGACTAATACTCTCCATGCAATATGCGGTCAGACTACAATATACAACTACAAATAATTTCTTATGTGTATTATTCCTCTTTTGGAATAAAATTTCATTTCACTATTCATCCCCGTTAAATATCAGTTAGTTTAAGTCCTTTTCTAAAGATTTTACATGGATACTAAATGTACATAGAAAATCCTATAAAAAAATACCATTTCAGAAATGAGATCAGATTATTAATAAAAGCGTAAAAATGTATCCTACAATTGTTAAAGTAAAAAGAAAGACTAATACTGTAGTAAAGTTTTTACTTAAGAAACATTTTTTAATGATGAATTATTCGTTTGCTACAAAATAATTTTCATTAATACTATGTTTTACAGTCAGTATAGGTAAAGTCAAGGATGACATTTATTATTTTCATGAAGTTTTATTTAAATGTTAACTCTTCACATCAACAATTGTAATATTCAGTCTGAGATAGGTGTAAGTTTAGCCTAAAGATACTTTGTGAACTGAAGGAGAATTATTAAGTGAATCTGGAAAAGAACAGGAAAAAATGTAAAGATTTATCTTGATATGTAAATCGAATTTACTTACATTTAATAGTGATGACAATCTACTGTAATTGAGATTAATGTAGGCGTGAGATTAAGAAATCCTGGTAATTTTTAGCTAAGAATTCCATGAATAAAATTTTGAATGAGATACACATTTAACACTCAAAGAAAATAAATAAAAAAATTTGTTTTAAATATTGAATATATATGAAAGTGTACAATTCATTTATTTTGTTCTATATTTAATGATCCAGCAGCAACCTCAACAGAAACCAGTTAATGCCAAAGATAATGATGATGTTGAATCAGAAGAAGTTGATTACAGTTTTATGAATTTACCGGTTCGTGAGAGACGGAAACTTTTTCTTGGTGGAGGTCAACCGCCCAGTATTCAAAGAGGTTATCTACATTCATTAACAAGTAAGTTTAAGTCTTGAACAATAAGTATTCTATTTTATTGATGAACACTGTAAATGTTAACTCTTTTTTGTATCAATTAAAAAAATACAGTGATTACAAAACATGCTAAGTGAAATAATCATTATAGGAAAAAGAACATTAAATACTTATGAGAAGGAATAGCAATCAATATTCTTAGAGTGTATTTATAGCACTATGAATCTAAATCGCTTGATTATTATCCAGTCATGATTGTTATCCTAATTTAGATAATACACAGCGCTATATTAACTACATTATAATGTAGTTTATTAATTGACACCCTGCTTTCTCAAAGTTATATTGGTTCCAAATAAAAAGTAAGCTATTGTTTCAAAATACACTTTCACCGAACTACTTTTGTAAATACTATAACGATTACATTATTATACTAGATAGGAACAAAATTAGAAAAAACAAACAATTCATAAGTTAAAAATCTTTATGTCATTTGAAATATGAAGGTGAATAGATATTTAAAATGTTTTACTAATCACTATGAAAACACATTATTGTTATTAAAACGCCTTTCTCCTATGGCTTATTAATATTATACTTTGTTCATAAACTAATAAACAGTTTTTCCATTTATGCGCTTGCTAATAAACTATTTGTTTGATCCTCGAACAAATTAAATACAATCAATGGGGTGACTTATAAGTTTGAATAATCAGATTCGAGATAGTTGTATTTACTTTTTAATTACCAAATATATTACATACAAAAATGAACTTATGACAAACGTTTATCAAATAACTTTCGTAATGAAAACACATAACTGATTGATACACAAATAACATATTTCAATACACTTACTTACGCCTGAAGGAGCATAGGCCACTCACCAGCACTCTCCATTCAACCCTGTCCTCTTCAGCTCGAGGCTGTTTTGTTCTTTCCCACAGTAGACTGCTACTGATGGTATCCGGCCAATGGACATTCAGTATCTTGTGGAGACAATTGTTTATAAATACTTGTACCTTTTTGATGATGGTTGTGGTAGTTCTCCGACATTCAGCTCCGTACAGTAGAAATGTTTTGACGTTCGCATAGAAGATTCTGACTTTGATAATGGTCAACAGTTGAGTTGCATATGTTCTTCAACTGTAAGAATTCTACTCTTGTTTTGCCAATCCTCGCATCTATGTCTGCATCCGATCCTCCATGTTCATCGATGATACGTGAATCTTTCCAGCTCTTCCATAATTTCTCCATATTTCAATACAGCAATGAATAAATTTATTGATTTCTCTGTCTATATAACATTACATTAGTTAAAATAGATTAAAAAGGAAATGCTTTAAAATGAATATGATACCTATAATCATGTTTAATGATTGTTCAATCATCCTCTTATAGTTTCTAATTGTGTATAGGTATGTGTATCTATTAATGTGTAATGTAGATAAGTGTATGTATTTATGATATTATTAGATGATAAAGACAAATTGAATTTATTCAATACTTTTTGAAATAGAATTAAATAGTTTTGTTTAAATTTGTTAAATTATGCTTTATATATTATATACACAGAAATAAATAATACGATTCATCATTCTATAGTCAATCTAATAAACTTTGATATTTTATCTTTAGGTATCTTTTGGTGAATTTGTATGAATATTTAGGACATGAATATAAATACATAAGAACACATTCAATATTGATGTGTATACGAATAAGTATAGATTAGTAGACAATATGGTAAATAGTATAAATAAGTTTAGGTGGAGGGGGTAGGAGGAGGAATTAAAAGACATTGAAGAAAAGAATATATTCAGTAGCATTATAGAATTTCTTTTTTAATATATTAAGAATAAATGAATAAATATTTAGAAAAAATTGTCCTTTTCAAACAATGAGCGATATATATATATATATATATATATATATATATATATATATATATATATATATATAGATGCACGTATATACTTGATATTTAAAATAGTTAACATGGGATTTTAAATGTCATTTACATTAATCCATATATATATTCTAAATGCGTAATGGAGATTTCTTGAAGTGTACATCTAAAATGAGGACAAGATAAATGTACAAATGCATAAAAATTCATTTTTTTTCAAGATGATATCAACGTCATAACTTTCTAGAATTTTCATTTGTAATAGAACTAGTCTTTAATTTGAATGAATTCAATATTTTTTATTGCTTTATTCAAAGTGATTAATTTAATTTTGTTGACATTTGAACTTCTTTGTATAGAGGCTTCAATATTTTATACCAAACCATATGAAAATTCATGATGAAAGATAACGTTCCAATAATAAATCTGATTCATAAATATTAATTTAATAGTTTAATTCGTAAGTTAATTAAAGTTAGACCACTATGGAGAACCCGAAAGCACTAAACGGTGGTTTTGCTTTCGTCGGGGACTCCTCGGCAATGCTCATCCACGATTCGGCCTCGCGAGATTCGAACCCAGGACCTATCAGTCTCGCGCGCGGGCACTTAACCATTAGACCACCTGTGTTAATGTTTAAATTCAACCAATCCATGAAGTTGCGCCGCCATCCACCATTGTCTTCAATAAGTTACTATCTCACAATAGACCTATTTGAACCCCACTGGTCACGGCTTTTTACTAGAACTCCAGGAAATACGTCTTGGAGACCGTCATTAGTTAGTATATGATGATTATAGTCAGAAAGGGATTTTGTAAATATTTTAGTAATTTAATAGTTGAATTTATGAGTCATTAATATTAAATCACGAATCTAAAATAACTTAATTTCTCATTTTATTGACTTAAATTAATTTCCAAAGTATATCAGATAAGAATTAACATTTTCTTTATAGCTTTCTGAGCAAAACTACTTATTAATATAAGTAATATTTTAAATGATAAAAATCTTTGTGTCAATACTTTGACGTAACAACTATTGAGGATTTAAATACAGTCAGATGTTTATATATATACTAGTCAAATTACATCAACGAATTTACACAATAACCATCAGTTTAAATGACTCAATAACGTAGTGGTTGTAGATATTCGTTTAAAAGCCTTCGACTTCTGCGTCATGTCAACATACTTTAGCTGGGCGTACCTGTGCGACAGTATTATTATTTCATTTCTTCGGAAACCAACTTATTGTTGGAATAAATCAACATTTCAAATAATGTGAGTTAGGATCTATAGGGAGCATCAATTTCGTTAAGATTCTCAGAGTGCCTTGCTAATGAGTGATAATTGGGATCACATATAGGTTCAGTGTTTCCTACCTTTTGAGTTTGACCAGAATGTATTTACATGCTTATGTATACACTATAAATATACATCTGTAGTTTTCGAATAGTTAGCTTTCAAATTTTTTGAATAATCATTATTTTGAGTCATATTTACATCCATAAAATGTAATCAAAGTGATTTGAAAAATTACTTTATTATAAGAGGTAAAATGATCATAATCATTATGTTAATTTTTATTCATGTCCAGTGCCAAGAACAAAAAACGATGTAAACAACTTTCATAGTCGATATGAAACTCAATCGGAGTATGGTGGAACAGATCATAACTTTGGATGGGATGCTCCAGTAACACCAACATGGGTTAGAGAAAATCGTACAACCAATACTAGTGAACCAGTAAAATCAAGATCAACTAAAACATTCAGTTTGTCTACAGTGCCATCAGAAAAATCATTTCAACAACAATTCACTCAATACGTTGCTGGACCACCTTCACCTCGTTACAATCAGGTAAATTAACAGACTATTGATTTTGTAATTGAATGTCATTATTTTTTGTGAGATTCATATTTCTCGTAATATATATTACTTTACTGATACACAATTTATTGATAGTGAATGTTTTAAAGAACTGGCGAGATAAATATATACGAATACGATAACTTCGAAATTTTTTATAACTATCATTATTAAAATTTAAACTAATTGGAATGACTGGTAATGCGTATATCTAAAATACGGAATACTTAGATGCGATATAAATATATTTTCTGATAGACCACATTAACTGCTGTTCACAAAACAAAACAAATAGGTAACTACCTATAATTATTAACTATTTACATTATACCAATAATAAATTTCAAAATTTCGATGTGTTCGATAGGAAAATCTGTTATTTAACAAGGTAGTGTTTTTATGCAATGTAAAATCTGGTCGCAAATAGTTCGGGGAAAAAAATACGTTATTACTTTACTGAGTGACACAAGTTCCAAAATTTCTTAGCTGACGAAGCTGACGTTAAAGGATTCCTGCTATTTCTGAAGAATAAATGTGATGGGTTTGTACCTTAATATGAATTATGAAAGAATAAATTAATGATCGAAATTTAAATAGCCTTCTAATTATTCCAGTAACGAACTAGGTATGATCTACTGGTGATTTCATGCCAAAAACTGACATCACTTTTAAATTTGGTTGTTTATTTAATAATAGATTTTGATGTTAAGTTATGCGAAAAAGATTTTAACAGTCAACAAAATTTATTAAAGTTTTCAATTCGAACTAATAGTAAATTCACTAAATCACGAATTTACTTTAAATTCCGAGATACATTACTCCAGTGATTATATATGTGTTATATCTAGATGCTTATATTCTTGATATGATGAGTATAACTTGAGCACTAGAACGCCAGAGCCCTTCCAAGTCTCAATGAGAAGAGAGAAGACTAATGAAAGAAATGTTACTCCAGACTGTCAAATTATAGTACAAAACTGTCGGGTATTTATAGTTTTTAGTAAGAACGAAATCATCATTATAGCTATCCAATCCGCACACAGGCGGTTATTAGCATTGTCCAATCATGAAGCTACACGTAGATATTCTAGAATATTCTTCGAAAAGTGATTGGATGGAATATCTTCGGCTCTTTCTGAGCTTCTTAAGGCTTCCTCGAGTTCACCCGTGGATCGTTTAATAATAAAGCACCCAAAGACCAGTATTACTTATACTCTCTTCCAACGTATATCAAACAAATAATTGATTTTTTTTATTAAAAAGTGAGTTTTGTAAGGAACATTACAATTCATAATTATATTTCACTATATTATCACTTAGTACGTATTGCATTTCATATATTATTCAAAAGTGCAACTTGAACAAATTATGGACAAAGTAGACGAGAAATCTTATTTCAAATTTTCATAATACAACAAGCTTTGTTGGACGTATACTAAAGTATAGAATGGAATGTTTAATTTGCTTTTTTTCTCTCAGATATAAGAAAAATATCCGTATACTCTGCTATCAAACTCCTTATCTAACCTTGTTATTAATGTACATTGTTTTCTTCGCATAGTTTTTTTTTATCTGTGTAGCTACTTTTCAAATATATATATATATATATATATATATATATATATATATATATATATACTGCTTATCTTATGCATATGCTGTTAGAGTTAACGTGTTGATATATGACCTGAATTCATGGACATTTAGGATAAAATTTAATTATCCTTGCACCTTTTGTTTAGGCAGATAAGAAAATTTATGTCTGTAACCAAAGTTAAATGTTCCCATCCGTATACCCATAAATTGGACTTATTTATATCAACTTTTGTGACAGTTTACTTTGTTCAGTTTAACAAAACAGTAATTTACATATATCATTGATTTTACATAATACATATACCGTTTACATGTTTTCTGGTACATTTTACTAATCAGTTTGTATGTATCATCTTCATTAGGTGTGGTGAATAGAAAAAAAGATTGAAGTAGTTTTTTAGTAATTCAGTTACCAGTTCATGAAGTGTCATATTCGATTTTAGTATTGGGAATCTACTGGGTTGATTATAATATTCAGTGCATTGTTAACAAAAGTATAATACAGTATTTTGGTGGAATTTTGTTCTCTGAGCTGGACACCAAACCGTATATATATTCGTTGACCACCTCACTTATTTCAGTGTTTTATCAGTCATGTTTTATATTTGGTTTCGAAAATTTCCTATCTAAATGTTTTTAATGATCACTATTATTGGCGTTCAAAGTGAATAACCATTTGATCTCAATTAAATAAAGATAAACTTATCGACTTTCATAAGAAAATATCCAATAACTGAGAGTGGAAAATAAATATCCTCAGACTTAGACTGCGTATTACTTGAAATTCTTTCTGAAGAATGATATTAATAAAACCCAGAAAATAGAGCAGAATATCACTTATAAATCTAGGGTTTTTTGAGATTACTGCCAGTCATCGAACAACAGTGACAATATAATGGGAGTGTGTAATTATTTGGTTAAGTGGTATTGTAGTAAGCGAGAACACAAGTGTGGACAACCAAATGCATTTTGAACAAAAAATTAAAGGACACCTTAGTAAAACCTGAGAACTATACAATGAATACTTAATTTGTAAAATGCCAATCAATTGTCTTAAACTTGACTGTTTCTTTTTCAAATTTCAGTCAATCATCTCAGACTTTAAATTTCCTGCATTTCCATACCAATTGCTTTCTGATCCTGTCCTTTCCTCCTCGATCTTCTTGAGCTTCTGCTGCCAGACTAGCGTTATATACAACAGTACATAAGTAGCACACACCACGGTACCATCGAAAAAATAATTGACAGATCTCGATAAACAGTGATTAAGAGACACAAAATATTGATTGTTTAATCGAATACAACATGGTTTAGAAAGTTAATTCTATAAAACATTCGTGTCAGCACTTAGATTCGCTACAGAGATGATCATAAACCGCAGTTTATTATTAACATAGAACTTTGGTGAGATTATTCGAAATTAATGGGTTTAGATAACCCGTATTATATATATATATATATATATATATATATATATATATATCAAGCTTTGCTCAGTTTCTTGATCGTAATTATAAATTTTATTGAATCAACATTTGTTTTAATTTATGCAAAATTTTGATAAGAAAGAAAGTCATTACCCAAACCAATTTTTATCGAAACTTACTGCTTACAGAATCCACCTGCTACTACAAATTATTTCAATACTGTGCAACCAAAATCGAATTATAGACAAAACTATCCTCAATACTCTGCAACTATACATGTTCAAGATTCACATCCAACTGGGAACATAACATCTGGGCGAGTATACAATGGAAGCTCAACACGTATCTACCCAGTTAAACAATATAATTCAAGTTCATCACCTGTTAGACCAATTACACCTTCATCGGTCTACCCATCATATAATTCGTACAATTCAATATCACGTGGTTCCGGCAGAGTAGTACAACCTCTACGTGTAAATGTATACAACAGGTTTGTTAATATGTTTTAATGATCACTTTTTATATTGCATTATTTCTGTCGACGTTCTGAACTATGTCAGTAGATATTTAGAATGGTCACTGAATAGTGTAAAATGTTGTGCACGTTTAATCCTTGGTGCCCAGTTACCAGCCAATATGCAGTCAGTAAGACCAACCGATATAGAATGTTAGTCAGACAGAAGGTCAGTCATGTGCCGTCTCAGACAGACAAACTGTTCGATCCGGGTTCGAATCTATCATAGACTATCTGTCTACTCAAGACTAAAGCTATGTGGTACTGGCTAATACCAAATAGCATCAGCTATCTTCACCCAGGTAATAGAGACACAGTACCTGTGATGTCGAGTCACTTATGCAAGGGTTCAAATTGCTACTTAGTCAATAGCCAGTACTAACGACTAGACGAGCAAGACAGTAGAAATTGGAACTTTTGAATAGTTAGCGTGAAAGAACTTTCAGGTTTTATGACAAGAATAAAAAGCTTCAGATCACTAAGTTAGAATGCAGGAGTCTATACATTTGATTTCAACCAACTCGTAGTAATCCCTATTTATAGCATAGTTCCTTTTCATCAGCCAGAACTCATTATTTAAGCTTCTAAATGGTATTGTTTGTTTACTCTCCTACTAAACCTCCATCATGGTTCGTAAAAAGAAGAAATTGCAAAGGTTTTCTCGGTAGGTTTCATGTGATTTCTTAAAATACCCTGATATCAGTAGTAGTCATCAGTCAATGCAACTAATTGATTTTTCACTAATTAAATTAGAAAATTAATTTCTGAGAGTAAAGATAGGTGCTAAAGCAATTTGAGCAATTCTCATTTATTATATTGTTACCATTTAATCTGACTCCATGAAGATTGAAAACGGTACTTATCATTTGTTATGGCTTACAATTGAATTTTTATGTTAATCTAAAACATTTAGTGGTACTCTCACTTTAAACGTGAGTTAATCTCAATTTGCACACGTGTAGGCAATCGGATCTAAATGATCACACAGTCCTATTCAGTGTCATGTTTTAGTAATAAGATTTTGTGGAGATGTAAATTTTCATGGATTAGAGTATTCATTGATCATGATTAGACAATCATTGGAAAGCATTTTTTGTTCTAATCTAAGACTTAGCAGTGCGCATCCACGAACCCACCATTTGGGGCCTATCCCATAACCTTTGATTTCTTGCACAAATGCCTAGCCTCTAGACAGCCATCCACCTTAGGTAATGATCAAACGATACCAACTATAATCTATGTGACTGACGATCGTGGTGGACACTGTTTCATATTTTCGTGACTGTTGTTAATCGACAAGAATCCCTGTTTATATGTTTCATGATGCTTTTGTAGAAAAGTCACCTTTTCATTATCAACAAAATTATCACATAATCAAATACACGAGGTCTCGACATAAAAATATATTATAAATATGGGATAAATATATCAAAGTGCATAATAACTATATTCAAATTCATCAAAACAGAACAATTTATCAATACATTTTCCAGACAGTATTCCATAAATCTTCTTACTGTCAACAGATGGTAAATTTAATACCAAAAATAAGTTCAAAAAAGGCTTTTATGATTAAGTAATATCTACTGTCTGTTCACCTAGGATGTAACAGCTGTTCAGTAGTCCATGGCTTTCATTAGCTATGTTAATAGCATCAAACGTCAAAGAAAATAATTCACTTTACAAATTAATCGTGTTGATTTACTGATCAACAGAAACGAAATTTAGTAATACAACCAATGCCTTATTAACTAACAAATTCCACTTATAACGTTTGCATTTGGGTTAGTAAAACAAATACTTTGATAATATAATCCATATTAATCTACTGATTCCCTTCAACTACTCATTAGTTATCAGTATAGTATAGTTACTTATCTGAGTTTTCACCATGGAAGCTCAATAGATGTAACTGCATTTCCATTCAAAGACCAAAAGACATGGAGAATTTTAGTTATCAAGAATTCACTAATGTATTAATACAACTATAAATTCGTCCTCAGAAGATGTTGAAATTTCAAATATATTCATTGTATACCGATGTACATTGAGGAACTCTTATTGTTTTTCATATTATCGACAAATCTACAAGAAATAAACAAGTGTTTAGGTATGTTTTGTTTTCTTAGCATTGAAATCTTCCAAAAGCAGATTAAAAAATGTATTTATTGAAACTCAACATAGTTTCTCTGAAAAACTTTGACATTATCGACCTAAGTCATCGGTTAAACTTCATATGATCTGGGTATTTTTGTGGATGATAGTGGCATCTCACTAAGATGTTAGTAAATAATATGCAGTTAATAAAAGATTGATTTGATTTTATCAATCCACTTGTCAAAATCTTGTTAGCAGTAAATCAAAGTGTTCATGTTTCAGTGAAATAATAAATTTGAATGAAATATGTTGGTGAGAGTATTCATTTAACTTTTGGAAGTAGATAAATGTGAGAATATATTCAGTTCGTGAAGAATTAAACATCTAATAATGTCAATTCTGTTCGTGTGACAGCCGTTTGAATTATTTGTTAATTAATATATAATACAGCCTAATAAACATCACAGATATGTCCACTAGACTATGAATTTTAGTGATTTTATTTAGTTCTTACTTCAAATGATAGATTAAATTTCAAGTAGGAAATATGGGTCATTGAACGCTAACTCAGAAGAAGCGTGCTTAACACGGGACCTAAAAGACCTAGATCTGGTCCCTGGGGGAATTATGGGTCACCAGCCCTTTGGGTTTCCAAACTAAAATAAAACAACTGGTTAGTATCCTTTGTTTTTGAAGGATTTCTGGTTCATATCAGTCCCTGACGAAAAGAGATTTCAACATACATTGAGTTCCGTAGGCTTCCGAAAACGCTCATTCAAGACTTTTTGAACTAGATATACTACTTAGCATTCTTATGTCTTATATGGAAGAAATGTATAACTAAATTAGTATTGCTTAGTCAAAATTTTGTTTGTATATATATTTCTACTTTTAGCGATAATGCATCTACGGTATACAGTCCACATCGAAAAGTAGAAAGTTCTCCCAACTGGAATCCTAGTTCACCTATTTATCCAGCATATCCAGCTTATATGGATAAATCAAATCATGTCGATATTCAGGTGAATTTCTAATTATATTTTTTGTTTGTTTCATAAATTTTAAAATAACACTGTTCTAATAACTAAATCGTTAACTATATTGGCTTTAAATATTATGTTTTCCATCAATCTATGGTTGAACAATTTAAGTCATATCGGAGAGAATAAAACTGATTGACGTGTAAGATTGTGAATATGTTCTAGAAATTACTATAGGAATCGGTAGCTGTTCAATGAGTATACAAGCAAAAATTAATTTATGAAGTATACAACTTACAAGTGAAGAAATAATAATGACAAAGAGATATATTTAGAATATTAATGATGACAGAAGGTTATTTCTTCAGAATTTCTTCACTAGGGTTTCAAATAAAAAATACTGGATCTATGGAACTATACAAGTATGCTCAACAAGAAATTTAAAATAACATACTAGTTGGTCTTATCACACGACTATGTGGGATCTATGTTTTAATCTTGTTTAACCGTGACAGTGTTAACTACAACATTCAGAATAATCTTCACCTCGACACTTATGGCATTCATAGTATCTAACGTATTGAGATCAGACATATATTAACACACCAAATGCCCCGTCTAGTTCTAGTTCTGTAATACTTTGAAGTCAAGTAACATAATATCACAATATTGTTCTTCATATCAAGTGCGATAGATCAAAACAAATAAATTTCGCGATTAAATCACACTTCATTTCACAATATTACGCTAATCTGCAGTACAAAACCCATGCAGCCAGAGAATCAAAACCGATTGGCTAGCTGTGTGAGACGGATATATACATTATGCGTCGTGTGAAAATGACTAATTTTGTACTATAATCGAATGCATCCGGGTTAGTTTGTGTATCAATACAACTCCTATCTTGTTTCCAATGGAAAATTGTCTGAAAACTGTGTTTGTAGTCTCGTTACTAAGCCTCCTGAGTTAAAATAATAGCACAACCGCACGCCAATCTACATTATTGACGCCTAACTTTACTACATTGTTAAACTCAGATAGTCGCTACATCAAAAGATATAATTTTAGACGTTCGTTACATTTATAATCGAAGTTGAACTTTCGAGTACATTCCTTGACACCCAAAGTCAAGAGGACCAATAAAATCAATCAATCCTCACATACATGTGTACGATCGACATTAATTTACACTTATCTTTCTTCTATAGATTCCATGTATTGCATATGCTAAAGTGTTAAACTCCATGCAATAGTGTGAGAAAATTTCGTCTTAAGGCCTTTATGTCTGTATCTGCGTACATTGATATTTGAGTTGATCTGGAACCAGAAACATTCTTGAATATATTTGATTTTATGAAATTACCAATAGTATGTTTGTAGTGAATGTTACTTATGTTGACAGATATAAGTAGTATGTCGCACCGATTACATTCTTGATTGATTGTTATTTATTTATGAACTACCCGTAGACTACATAACATAAGTGTGGTGGGTTTACTTGGTGAATATTTTTCAAGTATTTGAGGGGATTTAGATGAGTGAGAAAGATTTTGTGTTCTTATTTGTTCATAAGAAGAAACATAGGATGAAATGTTACAACTTGAATAAATATATTGTATACGAACCACTGTTAGTATTTGAGATTCTGCTTTTAGTAACCTACCGGGACAATAGTTTCTATTCAAAAGGGGTTTCCTAATATTTTTTACCTGTACTCGTGAACTTTATTCAAATGAGAGTTTAAAACAAGAACCCTCAGTAATTGAAAAAAGAATATTTACACAGTACTCTTGTGTACGCGGGAAGATATGACTGAACAAGCCAGTTATAATGCAGTTCTAAAAGAATCTTGCTTTGTAACTTATCTTTATATTCATTAAAATCACCAAATGAATACATTAAACAAACATTTGACCAAAAACTATTTTGTATAAAGAGAACTCTTCTTTAAAATAGTCAAAACACTACAAGTCCTCTTTTCTCGTTACGTACGACTGCATATAACAACTTACTTGCATGTTCCAAAAAATATACATTAGGAGAACATAGAGAATGATAAATGTTCTTAGTACTGAGTGCGCTTCAGTGAAATTAAGACTCAAAAACACCAAAAATCATTATCGTTCATTACCTTTACAATTATTCGGTAGCGATCATCTTGAATTTTTTAAGTAATCTGAAATAAATAGTAAACTAAGGGATAGCTTCCTCATCCTTTGCTGAATCAGATACCCTTATAAAAATGAACACGGCCTAACTATCATTGTTAATATCTTATTATATTTCAGACTAGTTAATTGTTATCTCATTCCCTTAATATTTACATAGATCATTCACAATTATTACGCATTATATATATATATATATATATATATATATATATATATTTGTCATACTATTTATTTACATTGAGAATAACAAGATTTAAAGCGTTTCGGTTATAATTTCTTAATCGGATCAAGGTGCATTTTTACTGTACAACGATTCAGAATAGGTGTTTATATGACATACTTAATCACGATACTTTGTAAGCGTAAGAAAGGTGAACATTTCCCATATGTTGAAAGCTTCGAAACGATAATTAAAATCCTTTTGAAAGAATATTTGATTGATTGGTCGGAAATTCAATGATTGTATTATTTTGTGGTTTTTATATCTGACCATGTTGTTTTTAGCCTTTACGTTATAGACGAGAACAATCTGTTCGACCAGTAACAATCTATTCAACAAATAATCCAGCAACTAATACAACAATTGAAACGAAACAAGTATGGAAAGCTATACCAGCTCAGAATTGGTTAGATACACAAAGAACAGTACGTAGTGGTACATTTATAACTACAACGAAGAAAATTCCTAGTGGACGACGTTCAGATATTAACAATGAACCATCAGGTGTGTCAGAGTTTTAAATATCAACATCTGTTTGGATTTAACAACAATAACACTTCATAACTACTTATATATTATCAAATATGAAATACAAAGCATTTTTACATTTCTAGTAATAAATATGACATCGGAAAATATTATAGAATTTAAAAAAAGTTCAGTTGAACAAAAATTATTCTTCAATGTAGTAATTTATTTACTAAAATTACATCTAGTCATTTATTTTACCCTCGTTTTAGCTTTATTTAAATCATTAACTAAGGTAATATATTTGTTTGTTTCTTTTTGCTTTGATTTTAACAACAAATATATATAAGATGACTCTTTTGTTTTGTTTTTCGTCATGGTTTTCGTCTACAAACACTAATGAGATAAAAAAAAGGAAAGGTCAATGATTAATTTATATAGAAATATTATTATTATTACTATATTTTATTTTTGTCTTCTCAAAAATTGATTCTCATTACGTTCCTCTTTCTCCTCTTACTTAAATGTTATTTCGTAGAATTACATTGTTTTTTTTTCTCATTTAAATTGAAGATTATTATTCTTCAATTTATTTTGTTGTAATTCATTGATATAAAATATATTTATCTTTAAATTGCATGAGTTTATTGTATTGATTATATAATATTTGTTTTATTTAGTTAAAACTATTTTTATTGTCTTCATTGTTTCAACTATTTCAATTATTATTAACAGTCATAGCTACTAAAATTATAATTGATAACTATTAATTCCTATTACTCATTGGCTTTATCCTTTCAGAATCTTTAATTTAATTTAATTAATTTATGATATTTTTTAACTTGATGGCATGATACGCTTTAAAGAAAACTTGTTTTCTAAATAAAATCTTTCATTTAATTTATTAAATACAACAATGAAATACAAACATTAGCAAAGATACATACATACTGAACATTACATTAAACGAATCTTCAATATATATATATATATATATATATATATATATATATATATTATGTGATTGAAATTCCCTTATGATTTGATTAAACAAATAAAATACCTTCCTTTATTGATTCAAAGTGTTGTGTTTTTTTAACGAAAAAAAGTCTTTTAAGCCTACTTTTTCGCAAAAAAAATAATCACAACAAAATTATTTCACAATCGTTATTGGAATAATCATACAGAATATTAAAGTAAAATGTATCGAAATAATAAATAACAGAAGGGGGAGATTTTAGTTATTTAATAGTTGAATTCATGATTTAATTGAAACTATACCACTATGGAAAGCCTAAAAATAATGTACGTCTGTTTCTTTTAAGTATGGGACTCTTCAGTAATCCGCATCCACGATCCCGCCTCGCGAGATTTGAACCAGGATCTATCGATCTCGAGCGCGAACGCACTTAACTATGAGACCACTGAGCCTGTATTTAATGGTGTTAACGTCCAGCCTCAACTAAACCACGAAATTGACCCACCGTCCACCATTATCTTCAGTAAGTTACTATTTCACAACAAATCTGGTTGAACTCTACTGGTCACAGATTTTCACCAGAACTGCAGAAAATACCTCTTGAAGCCAGTCACTAGTGAGCATATAATAATTGCTATCAAAAGGGGGTTTTGTGGAGATTTTAGTAATCTAATAATTGAATTCATGAGTCAATTTAAGCTGGACCAGCATGGAAAACCTGGAAGCACTGGACGCCTGTTTCGTCTAAGTATGGAACTCTTCAGCATCGTGTATCCACGATCACGCTTGCAGGATTCTAATCCGGGACCTATCGTTCTCGCGCGTGAACGCTTAACCTGTGCAGTGCTTCCAGGTTTTTCATGATGGTCTAGCTTTAATTGACTCATGAATTCAACTATTAAATTAATAAATAACAGTTAATTTCTGTTTACAAGACCATAATTGTTACAACTTAGTCAGCGTTTTTATCAACTAATGCAATAAGTACATGATATATATTTACCCATTTTTTGTATGAAGTAAATAGTAGTTAAGTAAAATAGTTTCCAATTTTGTCTTCTTAGATCTAAATGGAATTGAAAAAATTATCTCAATTGCATATTTTCGAAATGTATGTGCTTCTAAAGAGCCAAGTAATTTTGGTGTATGTGATTAATAAAACAGTATGTTTAGCAGTAAGGTGTTTGCAGATCCTAAATGTTTTCATTATTTAATGTCAATTTTAAGATTTCAATGACATCTTTGTTCATGTAACTAGTCTTGAGATGCTAAAAAAGATTTATTATTCAAGTGGATGATTTAGATGGTTTTTATTACTGACGTTTAATCTATCGTTATCTACATCTTTATTTTGATCGCATCTCCCTTTCAATCGATTCTTGATTCTATATTTGTACATAATTGTTTTGGGTGGTTGATAGATTGAATCGATTTCAATGTATTTATTGATTGCTAATTGACCTGAGTATCAAGCTTCTAGAAATTCTCTAGTGATTTTAGTATCCTCTCTATTCGAAATCTCAACGTTTTTCCAGTGAAATGTGTGTCCACATTTTTCACGCTCATTGATATTAACGAGGATATGCCATGGTGCTTGATCGCTAATTGATGTTCGTGCAGGAGATGATAAAGGTGGGGTTTACTGTGTTCAATTCATTGATTTCCTCAGTTTTACCTGTTTGTTTTGTAGGTGTAGGAAGTAATTTACTACAGATGAAATTGTAAAGTACTCTCCAGACTATCGAGCACAGAGTCTTAGCTTAGAAAAAGTCAGAACAAGTAAGGTATTTGGCTTGATAAACTTCGTCTGTTTCTACAACTTAAATTTACTCTATTAGTATGCAAAAAGCAATGATACATTCTGTTAAATAGTGGGAAAAGAAACATAAATAACATACTGAACAGTGACTAGTGAATAGGAAAAATGAGTCAACAAACCAAGGATCGTTTGTGAAAAACGCAGCGATTATGATTGTTGAATAAACAAGGAATAGCCATATAAGATCAAAGACGGTTAGTGTGGTGGTGGGCGTTTAATGCTGGGTTTGTTTATCGATAACACCTTACAGTAAATGATGTCGGGTTTTCTTTTTCCATTTTTTCCTTCAGTTTGCATCGTATTGATTGAAATGATTTTGCTGGTTTATGGGCTTAACTTATTCCAAACGGCTTTAGTAATCTCGTCGCAATTTCTGATTTGTCTTTTACAAATGGTACAATGATCCATTTGCTGATTTCTGTACTTGCCTTCGTTTCAGCTGCTGAGTTATGTTGATATTTTTTGATGAATTTGATTGAGTAGCCGTTCTTTTGAAAGATAGTCTTTAGATATTTTTTCATTTTTCCGCGTTTCAAGTGTGCTGCAGTGTGTTCTCTGCCTCTTGAATAATGATTGTACGCAGTTGATTTCGCGAGTTCTTCGGTTGTTGCTACTTTGATTAGGCATTTGACCTGAGTTCGCCCGCTTCCGAGACACATGAGTCTCTATTTTTTTGGTGTCGGTCCTGGTGAATGATAGATAAATGAGTGATAGTTTGTTGTTCGAATCCTTTCCCACTTTGAATTTCATGTCATCAAAAACGTTGTTGATCAGATTGTTGGCGTTTTTCAGCTCATGATGACTAATGTGTTGTCCATATAACGAATCCAAATTTTTGGCTTGATCTCTGATAAGATCAAGGCTTCCAGTCTCTGCATCACCGCTTCTGCAAGAAGTCCTAATTCACAAAAATAACAGTTCAGCAGTACTATATTCACATGTGGTAAGGGGTTGGGCTCTTTAGCATAACTAAGGATGAGTTTCATGTTGTATTAGCAGGGTAGGTTAATTCTATTTACTGGACACTAAATATGTTTCGCTTCTTAGTTATTGAGTGCATTCTAGTCGATATTCAAGTTTGCTGGACGAAAGGTTAAAATTATTTAAAATTTTAAAAATTCAGATTAGCTCAAATATAATTTTCATATGTAATGATATTCATGGAGTTATTCTTATCGGACAAATGTGTTGTAGTTTATGCCCTATAAATTTGACTCTATAGATAAATTGTCCCAAATATGTTAGTTTACTAATAATACACTGATGCACCTAATATCAACAGCGTAATATCGAAATTCGAAAAAGGAAGAGTTGTGGGATATTGTACTTGCTGAGGCTAATAAGTTGACTTGATTGGCATACCCGTTACATTGAGTCCCTCCTTCTTAACATTTACATTCAACTAACCAGTTACAAATGATTATAGGAAGTTTTTCTTGGATTCTGCCACTGAACATTTTTATTAAGTATCGTAATAACGATTATCCGACATCGCTTTTAATGAAAATAATACCGACTTTATTCAAAACTCTATGTTCAGCATTATACGGAGTTCGCAGTACAAAATGAAGCAGATGAACCTTGGACTATATAACTGGAAGCCAAACGTCTAAACTTCCAAATTACTGCTTCAGTACTCTGATTACTTCCATTCAAAGTCTGTTAACGTGCGTCCAAATTCAAGTTTGCTTAGCTAAATTTCTGTATATTTAGGTTACTCTGCCACTCAAACGTTTTTATTTCATTTTATAGTTTCTGATGAAATATCAGGCTATACTAAACTCACACGCAATAAAAAGTCTTGGTTCTGATCTCGTGAATTACTGAATATTTACTATAAATGATACTCTTTGAAACCGTAACATTATATACTTGAACTCACACAAAGGTATCGGACTTCTACCTTGACAGTTTTACAACACCACAAATACGCTTACTGGCACTAAAAATGAATAGCAAAGGTGTTCTTGAATATTTCAATATGTGAAATGTGGGATTTACTTCCGCAAGATGACTTCGACTAAAAACTTGGATTTCCGACCCAATGCTTTATGTGAAATAGCTTTACTGAATACAACAGCTTGCAGTTTATATTAAAGGATTACTTGAAGAGAACGAACAGAAATTTGTGGATCTTTAGTGTCAGTGAATACTTAATTCTCTGTTTGAATTTTTCCGCGTATATACTAAACCAACTGATTTCCGAAGTCCACAGCAGCAAACAGATGTAAGAAATGACCCTGGCAAGCTTCACAACTTTATTTGGTGATATTTTTACAACGTTTACAATATATGCCAACATTAATTCACAGACATATGATATGGAATAATTGTTGGTTAAAATATATTACATTTAAATGCTACATTTGTTCAAATGGTTGTGGACGGAATAGAAGAAGCTTTCGCTTAACAGGCTTCCGTGTCTAGAAGCAAGGATCACCAATACCTCCAGGCAAGAACCTAGGTATATTAACGATAAAAGAGAAAAGAAGGAATTGGTTAATCATAGTAATATACTGTCCTTAGTCCTTAAGAATAGATCAAGTCGTCTCTTAAAGGACTCCTGGGAAGGCGCTTGGATTAGCTCGGCCGGCAGCTGATTCCAGCATTTGACAACTCTTAAGGACAAGAAGTCGTGTCTGCAGTCCGTTCAACTATGTTGTATCTCTAATTTCTGGGTGTTACCACATAGGCTAGTGTTGAGACTAAGCTTAAGTAGGTGTTTAAGAAGATGTTCAGGAGTGTTAGGGATACTGTAAGCCATTAGAAGTTCACCTCAAAGACGCCTATACTCTAATGGGTAAAGGTCGAGTGATTGGAGGCGCTCATCGTAAGGTTTAAATTTGAGTCCTCGAACTGATTTCGTGGCTCGCTGTTGGACACGCTCCAGAGTGTCCTTATACTTTTGGAGTGTAGGAGGGAATACTATGTTTTCGTACTGTAAATGGGGACGAATAAAGCTGTTGAAGATTATGTGGAAAGTTCTCCCGTCAAACTGACCAGAAATGTGCTTCAATGTTACCAGTGCAAGGTTCGCTCGAAAGGCATTTCTGTCACACTTTAAGTCGTAGGGCACCAGGACTCCTAAATCTTTTGCGACTCGAGATACTACTAGAGAGCAGTTTCCTAAGTTGTAATTGTATTCTGCGACATGTCGCAGATGGACTACTTTACACTTTGAAGTTTTAAAGGTGAATCCGTTG